CCTTGGCAACCTTTTTTGGCTTAGCTGAACAAGTGACCTAAATTCAAGAGGGCATAGCATCATTCCTAAATGCTGTTGTGATGCTCTGTGCACCTCTGAAGGTAATCTGTGATAAATAAGGTGAGGTAAAATTACTGCAGGTGATATTACTGTACTCTATTTTTCACAGCAATAGCAGAAAAAATAATCAAGTTTTCTGAGTGGAAAGGACATGTATCCAAACAAAAATTTTAAGAACACACAGCTGCTCCTAACATAAACCCAGTTTTAACGTGGAACATCCCTTTCTATACTGTTATACTTGATAAATAACAATAGCAATATTAGCTAACATTTGAAAAAATAAGAGACAAACTTTTGAAAGTTCAGAACTAAAGTATATATAAAGTTCACAAAACTTTACTCTTAGGGACAAGTTTAAGAGCCCATTAGATTTAAACTAAGGCAAAAGGGGGAGGTAGTTCATGAAGTAAGGGGCAATAGGGGCAGCATTTGTTTTCACTGCAAGCCAGACAGCCATTATTGCTACAAATGACACAGAAATTTGACAGAATGATGCAGTAGATATTTTTGTCTGCAACTATTAACCTATTGAGAACTAGAAGGAACAGTCAAGCTCAGACAGGGGAGAGTCAGATTAGATGTTAGGAGAAATGTTTTCCCTGTTAGGGTGTTCAGGCACTGGAATATTGCCCAGGGAGGTGGTGGAGTCACCACCCCTGGACATGTTTATGAGGCATCTGGATCTGACACTGGAGGATCTGGTTTAGGGTTTAGGGGTTCCAGCAGTGGCAGATTAATGGTTAGACTCAATCTTAGAGATCTCCTCCAACCTTCATGATTCTATGATTCTATTAGTATGCTCTCTGAAATATGAATATTTAAGCCTTGTGCAACAAAAGCTTCTAATAACAAACATGATAGGGTATAACTTCATTATTATGGCTAACATTAGTTTTTTACTTAAATCTTTGGCCTGCTTTCTACTTGCTAAGGTTCCAACAATACTTCTCCAACAGCATGTTCCATCTTACAGCGTTGGTTACTTTTTCAATTATGAAGGGAAAGAATTCATCTCCTTCCTTAAAGGAAAGCCAATGAAGCTGTCTTGTAATGGCCAATTATAAAAAGATTCACTTTTCACTTCAAGATAAACTAGATGTTTATGTCCACATCATGACCACTTCCCACAGGAAAAAGATAAGATAAACTAGATGTTTATGGTCATATCATGACCACTTCCCACAGGAAAAAGAAAGCATGTTGCTCAAGTCATGATGAAGAAGAAAGAAATTCTTTTGTATTTTTCTTTACCTCCAGCTTCGAAAGAAATTTTGTATTTTTCTTTACCTCCAGCTTCTTCAGGATTCTTCCTTGGTTTTCATTTTTTTTCTTATTTAATTCTCTCTTCCATGTCACTACTTTAAGTTTACACATTTTACTGCAGCTGGCAAATAATACATTTCCTACATACAGAATAATATTTCATAGTCTCACAATCTAGTAAAAGGTAAAAACTCAAGACAAAAACAAATCTTATGTCAACTAATAATCATTATTACTGGCTTAGCCTACCTAAAAAACCCTAACGATGGAAGTTAGCAAATTGCTCCAATTTCACAGCCTGCACAGATTTTCTGGTGGACTTTTGTTTATTTGTTTTAAGAAGTACATCATTATAGTCCTTGTCTATTGTCTCCACTCAAGACACATCAAGCCAAAGAGTCTCATGAGAATTTAAG